CCCCAAAACCCCAAAACCCCAAAACCCCAAAACCCCAAAACCCCAAAACCCCAAAACCCCTACCCATCTAAACGAACTTGAATCATTCAAACTTAACTAATTACCAATCTTATTTACTTCAGATACAATAAAATCTGCGATGGCTTTGGTATCTGTATCATCATAATTGCTCAAAATATTGACTAATTGATGGAGTCTGTTATCATCCTTCATTATCTGATTAGACATGCTCATTTCCATGCCTATATTCCTTCCAAACGTATTAGCTATGTCACCAACGAGGCCTCCTACTTCTCTTAAGAAATCCTAGAATAGTGAGCAAGAGTGGACTTACAATTGAGTGGTCGAATTCTGGGGCTAAGGTGCTCATCAAGAAGTTGTATATGTTATAAATGTGAGTTCCAAGGCACTGATAGCATCTGTCATTTACATCTCTGATATTCTGAACGAAACAAGTGTATGCTTCAATTAAAGAACTCTGATATTGAACTAAGGCTTGAATCTCATCATATTTCTTCAGATATTGTCAGTTGGGAATTTCGACACAGGCCTTGGCTGCACTTTCCAAGATGATCAGAGACTCTTCAAAGTATGGTTCAAACTGATTCTTAGTCAGCAAGAAAGTGTCACCAATGAGTGAAACAATAATAACTTGGACACTCATTCCAATATTTGGATTCTTCATGTGGGAAAGCAATATAGGCATATATTGCTTGAACTCTTGGACTATGATGGGGGATTCTACAAGTGTTCAGAGATCACTAATGAGTCCTCAGACATTTCTAATAATGCCAGGGCTTTCACATTTCAAACCATGAATCAAGAAGGGTCCAAGTGAGTCAATATGGTGATTCAATATCTGAGGGAACTTGTTAGCTACAGCACTCAAGGCTAAAAAGGCTTCTTCACAGACGTCTTGTCTCTGGAGAAAGATTTTCTGAACTAATTCGATAGTTCTTACTCCAAAATCATCATGTAGATCTGCCTGGATATTAGTCAGAATGCATTGGACAGCTCATAAGAAGAATCATTGCAATTCCTGGTTAGCAATACTTGGTGGCTCTGAATCTTTCACAGACTCTTCGAGAAGGTCAAGAATGTAATTCATGAAATTATAAGAGGTCTCCTGACAATCGATTGGGGCATACTGAAGGAGATTGAAGATGGCTGAGAATCCTGCAACTCTTGTATTTCCACTATTTTCTTCGAGTACATAGTCCTTAAGCACGCTCAATAATTCTTCATAGACACCGCTCAGGATGCAAGTTTCAATAGGATTTTCTCGGTCTAGGATAGCTTCAGCAAGTTCAGCAATAATAGAGCAAATGTTGGCTGAAATATTGTTGTTTGTCCTAAGCCCGTTGATCAATTGATCGTAGAGTCTACCAAAATTGTCAGCATAAGTGATCAATTCGTGATTAGATTTAGCAATCTTCGAGAATAGCCATCCTGCAGTGTAAGAAACTTTCCTATTAGAATCAGCAAGAAGATCGATCAGTTGAGGAACAGCAGGAGTTAGAATTTCTAGAAGCTTGTTCTTGTCAGGACCTTCAAGGATAGCTCCAAGTGAGAGAAGTCCACAATACTTCTGTTCCCACTTCATATCTTCTTCGATATTCTTTGCTGCAAAGTTGGTCACAGGCTCAATGACATCATCTTCAACAACTTTGCTGATGAGGTTGAGGCATCATCCTGCTGCAACTGAGGTACCCCATTCTTGGTCGTCGTCTTCTTCGATATTTCCTAGGTTGATTTCTTGGATACAGCTAAAGATCATTTCCATAATGATCCCAAAGGCAGTTCTGATGATGTTGGAATGACTCTTGCCATTATCAATCCTCATCTTTTCTTCTTCAGCAAGGGAGGACCATACATCAATAGCCTGAGTTTTCACCTGAGGTTCGTCATTCTCAGTAGCAAGTATAGTTACATCAGTAATGTCCTTCATAAACTCTTCTATAAAATCATATCACAGTCTAACAATTTCAACTATGCACTGCATTGCAACCTCTCTGACCCCTACAGACTGATATTTGGTCATTAGAAGAATTGAGTTTACAATTATATCTGCTTCTCTTTTCTCAAAGTACTGTTTGCAGAACTTCATCGAATGGAAAATCCCCTTAATTGTCTGCTCAATAAGGTCAGGACTCTCTTTATTCTTGTCTAGAGATTCAATCAGACCTGAGACGATCAAGTTTAAATCATCTTTGTTCAGTTCGCCTTCTCTGAGTTCTTCTAAGATGTAGGCAAGAGACAGTAGTGAAGCATACTTGATATTTTCTTCTTGGTTCACTGTGGTCCTATTCAGGCTAGTAATAACTTCAGGCCAGCTGCCTGCTGGGATTTCAAAGATTCAGATTGATGAAATTGCAGTAGCAGCAGCTCTAATAATAGCCTTGTTATCACTTCAGAGAGCTCCCAAAGAATTTCGCTTCAGTAAGTCCCTTTGCTCATCAGACATATCCTGCCACAAGTTGTCGAGAGCAGGATCTTGAGTAGCATTGATAAGAGTGTTTTTGAAGAGAATTCCAGCAAGCTGTCTTGCTTGCTCCTTTCACTTATCGTTTTGAAGAACTTCCATTGTATAGTACAGGAAACAAACCTAAAGTATGTTAGAACGTTTTCTGAGTAAGAAATGAACTCAATACTTACGGGATCTGAATTCCTCAATTCTTGTATTCCTGTCTCACTCTCTTTTCTGTGATCATTATCTATAACCATTAATTACCCGCGATTAATCTCCAGAAACTAAAATTTCAAAAATTTTGCGCAAAATTTTTGAGAACCAATTCCCACCTAAATCCCAACTTCTAATCCCTCAAAAAATGTCTAAACCTGTCTATCTATCCCTTTAAACCCCTTTTTAACCCCTTCCCATATCCTTACCTCTTGGACATGAACAGTCCACGAGGAGATTGTAAACTTGCTCCATGTTTTCTTGTATCTTAAAATAAATTATCAACTAAATTTACTAAATCCGGGGTTTTGGGGTTTTGGGGTTTTGGGGTTTTGGGG